TTCTCTTTAAAAAGCTGCCCGTCCATCATAAACATCCTCCCTTTTATGTTCCCCGCCTGTAAAGGAAGAGGAAAGAGAGGAATCAGCCCTCTCTCAAACACAAGCTGACAGCGCTAAGCAGACTGACGTGACATCAGAGGAGCGATGTGCCAGACAGAGCTTTGAATTTCTCTAACAAGGTAACGCCACAATTATTAGTCACTCAGTGAGACCACAGCTCCCGGAAACTTATTGAAATATTCCCGAATTTGTTCAGACTTGTGCACGCCAGCAAAACCCCCGCGAATCCACGTCTCCAGTGAAACCCGATCCCGTGTTCAGCTTCTCCGTGAAGAGTGTTAATCACACACATCAGCGTTCCTTCATCAGTCTTTTTCCACATATTCTGAGCAGTTCTGCGAGAGTCTTAAATTAAATCCCTCACCTTGACTCCATATAAATGTAGTACTGTCAATAAAGGAGATATAAATAGATAGGGGTGTAACCATTCATAATCTACCTGAATATTTTAAAAGGGTCTTTTGGGCAATGAGGCCGGGAAGAGAAGAAGAAGAAGAGAGAGAGACTTGATCAATCGCCTGAGTTCTGCCTCTACAATCAGAAGTGTGCTAATTGAAATGGTGTGGAGTCATCTACCACCCCTAAAGGATGAACCGGATCAAATTAGCGATTTTTCCTAATAATTTACAGCAGAATTATAAAACCTACTTTGGTCTCTCTGCTTCCTGTCTGGACAATGATTGAGAAAGCGCTGCTTGTTGGCTGTCTGGGGAGGAGCACTGAGAAATGTTAAGGAGACCTTTTCAATGCCTGACCCACTCCGTTTGTGAATGTTAATGTTTTTTTAATGAAGACATGGACTGAAAACTGAACTATATGGCTTAATAACGGGAAGGACGGAGAGTGACAACGTTAAATCTGAATGGTCCACGCTTCAGGGCCCAAAAGAGAAATATGTAGCGTGTCAGAAGCTTAAAGAAGGATGGCGAGTGTTTAAGGTGGACGGGTGGACGCACCATGAAGGTGCTTACTCTGAGCCTTCATCACATGTCCACCTTTCCCTGAGCTTTTCTATTTTCAGTGTGAAGCTAATGAATTGGGATCTGGAAAAGGTTTTTCTGCAGGCTTACAGTGAGAAATGATAAGAGATTATTTTAGAATGAAGATCAATGACAAAAGTCCAAACGGTAGGAGGACGAGCAGCAGCAGCAGCAGCAGGAGGAGGAGGAACAGGAGAAGCATGTGCCCTAATGTAAGATGAGTGTAATGTGCAACCCAAGGCCAAAGGCAAGAGCTTCATCTCACCAATTCTCTTTACAGGAGTGGAAATTACTCGGTGCCATACATAGCTGATTTATACAAATTAATGACCTGGGTTATTAATAGGCAGAGGTGCATATATTAAACACTATGAGTAAAGGTAGCTTTAATTATGCATCCTTTATAAAACCTGTTTGACTTCGGCACCTGCTGCGTCGGTGCATTTTCAAAATTAATCCGATTCCTGAAAAATGAGCTAATAAAGCAATTGTGCCTCCATCTACTTTTGAATAATCGGTGGCTTCAGATATATCCGTTCAGCGCACTTTAGCGGCCGCGACAATGATGTAAGAAAAGCTGTTTTCAGACAGATAATAGAAGGAGTCCGAGCATTTTTTACGTTTATGGCTTAATTTGGGCTGCATTGTCAGACTAAGTGTTTGTAGTGGTCTTATTTATAGAGCGGATGCTCTGTGCCATTTACTACGGATGCGGTGCACATCTGGCCGGACACTTCGGGGCCACCGTATGAGCGAGGGTTCCTGCCCTGCCCCTCTCTGTTGTCCGAGGGGACCGCTGCACTGACAATGGTGTCACCTCTCCCCCGGGGGGACACCTCGGAGTGATTTGTGGTCGGGGAAGACTGATGAACTGCTATTGCCACCCTGTTTCTTTGCAAGATCAATTCTACATGTAGGAGTGTGCTTTATGAATGATGGAGACCTCCTCAAGCCATCCATACAGCTGCCCAAAGACACAGCCCTGGCCCCCACAGCACCTACAAGGCAGGAATAAAGCAATCACTCTTCTCAACAGGGCCATGCATTATGCACCCACACTCACACATGAACATAGCCACATGAATACACAGATAAGTCAACAAAGCATGCGCGCACAAACAAACAGCAGTGTCTGTTTGCAGGAAACAAATGGAAGCCGTAGCCGGTGTCATCTCGTTGCCTTTTACAGGCGTTTTCCTAGAATAGCAAGAACTTTAGCGCATTATAGAAGATTGGTCCTTAGTTTGGACAAAGCGCCGCTGAATGGGACTCCTCGTGAGAACAAAGCTGTCAGTTTGCACTCTGGTTCTGGACCGCGCTGCCTCTCTGGACAGGCCCGTAACTGGGTGCGAGCCAATAAGAGCAATTTGATGGTATTGAGGGATCACTTGCAGCACACATCTGAAGGCTGAATGCATCGTGAATAGGAGCGGCATACATAGATGTCATGAGTCCTGCCTCCCGCAGAGAGGTTGAAAGCAAAAAGTAGAGCGCAATGAATACTTGAGTGTTCTGGAGGCTATGAAATTGAAAGGCCTCTCTCTTTTCTTGCCAAAAGATTTCAGTGGAAAAATAGAAGCAGCTCATGCTTTTTAATCGCAACTTTAAGATTGATTGGGCGAACTTATGTGCAAATCAATGCGGGCTTGACAGACGTTTCTCTTTTATGATAATCCTGGTGTCGAGAGCAAGAAGAGAGGAATAAAACAGCAGATCTACCTGGAACCAGAGAGAACAATCCTAAAGAAAATAATCTGAATATTTTCTAAAATATGCAAATTTTCTATCTGAAATCCCGACTCTTAAAACAATAAATAATCCAGTTTATGCAAACGGTGCTGTTTTATTCTTAAATAAAATAACAGGTTTATCACTACGATAACGTTAAAACACTGAAGCATCCATGAGCATTAAACTGATCACATGCATTCGTTCTAAACGCGCGGCCGGCTGCAGTCTGGATATCAGCAGAAGCAAGACACAGGCGCAGCTGAGATAACTTCCATTTACAGTGTGAGCCTGGGAGCGCCACGGCGTACAGGCCATATACTATTTATGGGTTAATCGATACAGTAGCTGGATGACACCATGTCCCCGCTACTTTCTGTCATGATGATGGCTCACTAATTTTGGAATGGCTGCTTTCTCCTCCTGCCTTCAGCAGGCTGCAAGACGGTTTAATTTGGCTGTAAAAACGCCAATCACCGGGTTACTTCTTGTTCCTGGGGGAGGTCAAGACGGGGGCATGTCCATAGGAGGATATATATTCACATAGTTCTCTTAGAGACACTGCTAACCCCTGACATCCCATTTGGGTTGTAATTTCATGTTGTTAAAGTGACAGGGACCCAGCCTCGGTGCTCTTAGCCAGACGGGGGGAGACAGGGGCGAGTCCTGATCAGAGAGGCCTTTAATTCTTGCTCTAAGAATGAGGATGCACAAGTATGTATGTAAGAGAGTGTGTGTGTGTGTGTGTGTGTGTGTGTGTGTGTGTGTGTGGGCAGATATCTGAGCTCCTGTGTTTTACGTGTCTGTAGAAGACGTGAGCCATCGAGCAGCCGCCCAGGCAGCATGTTTAGGTATTTGTATGCGTCTTTTTTTTCCCTTTTTTACTGGCCGGGGTCAGCACACATCAGAGGCACATGGGTGGAGGTGGAGGTGGAGGTGGAGGTGGTGGAGGGGATCCAGGACCATCCCACTCTGCACAGACACTGCTGGCTCGAGAAAAAAGAGAGACAAGCAGTGAAAAAAGAAAAAAAAAAACTCATTACCTTGGCACTAAGACTTAACGCTGCTTCCTTGAACTGGCTTTGATCTCTGCTAATGTGGATATATGGGAGAAGTGATGCTTTTACTGTGATGAAAGCTAACATTTAACTGCTCACGTTAAATTAGGGGAGAAAAGACATCAGGCGTGTTTGTGTTTTGGGGAGGCTGGGATGGAGGCTGGGATGGAGGCTGGGACGGAGGCTGGGACGGAGGCTGGGAGGGAGGCTGGGATGGAGGCTGGGACGGAGGCTGGGACGGAGGCTGGGACGGAGGGGGGTTACGAACAAATTCTTGCACCAGTAATAAAAAATACTGACTGTGATCGACTAGAAACACGAGTGAACACAGGCCGCTGCTCCTCAGGCCGTCTGTCTCTTCATCGTCTGTTTTTAAATAAAATAAATTCAGCACACTGTCCTCTTTGACATGTTGGACCTGAACCTCTGACTCTACGGTCACACTGATCAGCTCCTGTATATATCACAGCCCTTACAGTGAACACTGGTTGTTTTGTTCATTTTGTGCCATGCTAATAAAGTTGGACCTAATTCACCAACATTACATATAAATAATTATTATTCGTAAATATTAAAAATGTTATTTTCAAATTTCAGTTCATAAATTTCAGTGATGTATAAATACAACTGTAGACTATTATATATAAATATAATGACAGATAGTCTTCAATGTTTTAATTTTAGGGGGTTGATGGCACAAAACAGACAACATGTAATTATTATAAGATAAAGAATAAACAAGTCTCAGGTGATTGAGTTTAATTTACAAAATAAAAACGACATTTTATCATTATGGAAAAAATCCCAGCGGTTCATTCTTAAAAGAACAACAAAGAACATCCCAGTGTTTGGTATGAATACAACAGGGTGACAACTTCCCACCCAAACGACACAATAAAAGTAAAATGAGTTAAACTGACACCCGTCTGGGGACGTTACTGGAATATTATCCACCTAGTTTATGGTTCCGCGGTTCGCGATCATCAGCCTGCTGTGAGTAATAATCAACTCGGAGCTGTGGCTGTGATTCACGGTGGAGGCAGAGGTAGGAGGACACCGTGTGTGTGTCCGCCCCTCTCTGACAAGTAAAGAGTTAACGGAGCGGTGGGTTTGCCTATTCTCCTGCTGTGAGTGACGCGATCATCTCTCTTATCCCTCAACTTTGCCTGTTGCCAGACCAGGCAGCCGAGCTGGACGCTGGCTCTCACCGCGCACATCTCACCGCGACCAACCCGCCCAGCACCAGAACCGCGTCCCCCCGCTGCTCTGCCTTATTTATTTCATCCTGTCGCCGACTTTCCACCGCAGGCTGCTGTTCCGTAACGATGATTTTGAGTTTTTCTTCCCATCGGACTCCCCGATGTTGTGCAGTCTACTACACGAAGGCGTGAATCTTTTTTTTTTTTTTTTTGAGTGAAGAGGTGGATCTTCCCGGATACGGCGAGGGGGTTGCTTATATGAAATAATCAAAAAAGAAAGAAGACTTCCACGGAAATCCCCACAAATACAACATGCCAAGGAGGAAACAAGAAGCGCCGAAGCGCGCCGCAGGTACGTAACCAGAATGTGCGTAAAACGAGCTGCGCCGCGTCCAAGCTGCGGATGTTCCGTTTGTTTGTAAAGCTCCACTTTACAGTCACCGCATTTCCGTTTCCACTTAGAGCTTTTTTCCGCTCTCTGGCTGCTCTCCTCATACTAACTGTTACCTTTCTGCTGCGTTAACCCGGGTCGGCGTGTTTGTGCGTGTCGCTGCTCTCCACGCTGTAGCAGCCGTCCGATGAGTTCAACTTCCCTATTGTTCCAAACTTGAATCCCCCCCTTCCCCTCCCGCTCCTCGATCCCAACTGCCAGCTGAATCCGATCTGTAAGAGTAAAAGCCTTTCTGGAGGAATCAGCGGTGTTGTGTTGGTGCTGGGAGCCCGAGGCGTGCCATGAGAGCAGCACACGGGCTTTGTGCGCATTTGATCCGAGCGCATAACTTCTTTGCACAAGCGAGAGAGAGAAAAAAAAAACTCTACCTCTGAGGTTTTTTTTTTTCTCTTCTTTTCTTGGGATAAGATAAACAGTTTTAGAGCAGACAATGGGGTTCCGTGGGCTGGAAGGAGCCATAATCGACAGTTGCCATGTCTGATTTGACGGTTGATTGATTGGCTGTCATGCGGCTTTGATCTGATCCTTCCCGATTTGCATCAGAAAATCACTTCCCACCATGTGCTGCAGGCCCCTGACGTCACGTTTAAACCACTCTGAAAGGCCCTGTGTACTTTTTGCTCTCTCTCTCTCTCTCACACACACACACACACACACACACACACACACACACACACACACACTCTTCTATCACACTGATGGTCAAGTGACTCACGAAAAAGTGAAAGAAGAGGAGGGCGGTGGGGGACAAAGTGGTTTCACAGTGAGACATCACACACACAAACAGACACTTCCAGCAGAGAACATCACACTCCCATGTGCACATGCTCACTTGTTCACTTTGAACACACACACACACACACACACACATACAGTGGGGTGGAGGAGGAGGAGGAGGAGGCGGGAGGAGTGGGTTAGGGGTTGTAAAAGGAGCCGTGTGCTATGTAATGGAGGGGAGGAATGGGTTTGCTCTGTCAGACCGGGCCGTCACAACGGCTTTGTTTCATGTTTGATTTAATTGTCTCTCCCCTGACAGGCCCATTCATCAATGGCTTTAATGGTCAATCAGAGACAGGCTGAGTGAGTGCTCCCATTCTGTTTAGCCATAAGCTGGCCTGGGCTTTTATTTCATCAAAATGCCCCAGCCTAATGTACATGCTCACTGGCTCAGAGTGGCCGCGGGGAGCACATAAAGAATGACTGAAAGCTTTCTGATTTCAGATCAGTGAGAAGGATGTTTTTTTTTTTTTCCTCTTTCTCCTCCTCGTCTCCTCCTCTGCTCTATCCTCCTGCTACACTGGCTGCTCCTCTGTTGACGAAAGCGAATAAAAGGCTGTAATGTAGATCGTTTTGTGTTTTTAGAAAACAACTTTTTCTCCCTGAAACCACGCTTCTTTGTTCATTCATTCATCTATTCATTTCTTCATTTTTTTTCATGCTCCCCTTCCACCCCTGTCAGTCAGCCCGTGCAGCTGCAAGTTATAAAGTTGTCAACTGTTCAGTGGCACACAAAGGGTGATGATGAATTGATTGCAGCACAGAGCATGGTGATAGAGAGAGCAAAGAAAAGGATGACAGATGATGGGCCTTGATTAGGGACTTAGGGGGAGAGTCAGCCCACTGCAACCTTGAGACTTGCATGAAAAATCTACCCCCCCACTACACACACACACACACACACACACACACACCACTCACCCACCCTGCTTTGCTCTCTCATTGTCTCTCCAACACTCTCTCCCAGCTTCTCGCTCTCTTTCTTTCCTGTCTGAGAGGGTTTCTCTCTCCACAGTAGAAAACTTGTTTTGCCTGCTTCATTAGCGTTGGTCCAATTAGCCGTGAGGCTGATGGAGTCCTGACAGGCCCTGTGATTGGAGATGACAAGCTCGGGGTGCCCGGCCCAATGAGGTTTGCCACCACTTTGATGTAATCAACTTGATATTACACAGAGCCGCTCGCCTTTGGTTGTGCTGTAACTCAATTTTCTGCTGCAGGTGACAAATGGGCCTGCGTACCTGGGTCAGGTCTGAGTGCTCTTAACAACCAAGGGCAGCTGGCCACGTAAACAGCCGAAGCAAACATGAGCGAGAGGGGGAGAGAGAGAGACTTTCCCGGCTGTGGACCTCCCTCCTTCGTGGCTAGCGATTAGCTTTGCCGCAAGCTCGCGGCCTGAAGCTGTTGAAATGGCTTCAGAAAGTTGAAACACTCGGTCGACTTAACAGGAAGTCAACGCCGGCTTCAGGACACGCGGGCGACTTGGTTGGAATGTCTACGCTGTGCAGTGTGTGTGCAGGATGGATGCAGTGTGTGTGCAGGATGGATGCAGTGTGTGTGCAGGATCTCCAGTGTCAGTGTGCCGTCAGGTCACCGCTCAGAAACCCAGCCGGCCTTTTTCTCTGTCAGAAACTGTGGCCGTTTGTGTGAGTGAGGACGAGAGGAGTCCGATATAGAAGGAGGAGGGAGGGGAGCTGCTCTGATTTGGACAGGACTCCACAGCAACAGTTTCTTCTTTCTGCAGGGTCAGGATTTTAGCTGCCAGACTGGCAGCCATCACTCATGTCTGTCTCTGAGTGTGTGTGTGTGTGTGTGTGTACACTGGAATCAGTAGACATGCACTTTCTGATTTTTCTGCGTTCGATGTGTGTGTGTGGTTTGGCCTGCGATACCAATGAGAGGAATGGTAACCGTAGACCACCTGCTGAGGTCAGGCCATCATTCCCTGAACCCTGCAGGCCTAAAGTTCCTCCTTCTCCTCCCATCTCTCTGTCTTCTGCACATCACCTATGCGTCCTGCGCCAGCAGCGAAACTCAAGACCCAGTCAAACATGGAGTGTTGACTCCAGCTCAGACACAGGCTTTTACAGCACACATTGCAGACACATGCACACGTGTTGCGACTGGGTTGTAAAAGCAGCGAGTCCAATGAAGTAAGCTGCTTTTATATCTGTCTGCCTTCCTGTTGTTTATGTGTGAAAAGCATGCCCTTACGGAAGCAGCAGGGGAGCTCAAGTTGGGACTTAATTGTTCGGCCGACATACGCACTGACAGCACCGCAGAGCTTTAACAACAACACGCCTCCGCCGGCGTTGTTTGCAGGTGCGAGCGAGGTAAATGTTTTGGCCTTGCAGGCCTCGTTGCTAATGAAAGTCCTGTGGCTGGATTCCGGCGAGGTTGAGTCACGTCTGTGATCTATGTGTCTGATAAGTGCATACCTAATGAGGCTGTGAGCACCAGTGGAAGGAGGAGGACGGCTGACAGAGTGTTTCCCACAGGTATTGACAGACGCCTTTTTGTTTTTGCCATAGGCCTTGACTCCATAAATCCTGCCTGTGTAATGATAACAGTGCCACCCTGCCAGCAAGTGACTGAAAGAGAGAGTGTAAGAGAAGAGAGAAGGAGGGCAGAGGGGGAGGCAGAGGAGGAGGAGGAGGTCCTGGTGGTGGGGAAGATGAGGAGCAGAGGAGCGGGGGCGGTGAAATGGGCTTTCTCTCCTTTTTAACACACACTTGGCAGATGTCAAGCCATAGGGTTGGGCTCTAGGAGAGAAAAAGGAGTGTAAGTGCTGTAGTAGTGTCACAAATAGAAAACCGTTAGCCATCCACTCTTCCCTTTCAGCTCTCAGTGTGCTTTCAGCCGAGCTTTTTCAGACAAGACTGCTGTCTGGGCACTGAGTCGGAGGCTTTGTAAAAATAGTCCCACCGCTGTTGTGATAGATGCAGCTGCACTGTGGCGACAATTGGGACAGGCTGGATCCCTCCAACCCGCCGCCCCCTCCCAGAGGCAGCGAGCGCTGGAGCCTGGTGGGATGTGTGCTCTTTTTCGGGGAAACTGAGCCGCTCCGTTCTTCAGGGGTCCTGAAACCCAATCCAGGAGGAGAATAGCCCGGCCATGCCAGAGAGCCGATTTCCTTTTCAACAGAGTCATTTATCACTGACCCACCCTTCGCTTCTGACACGGTGACATGTGTCATTTATCAAACAGGCTTTAGCAGACACACAGAGGAGGGAGGCGGATGGGGGGCAGAGAGGAAGAGAAAGAGAGAGTGAAAGAGGGGAGAGCGAGACAGAGAGTGGACTGAGAGAAACAAAGAGGAGAGGAATGGAGAATGAGGTGTAGAATGGGTCCACACAAACACTGCTGTGTGTGTGTGTGTGTGTGTGTGTGTGTGTGTGTGTGTGAGAGTTTTTCCAGGGAACAGTGAGTTTTCCTGAAACCCTTGAGGAGAGCGTTTGGGAGGGGAGATTTTTGCGAGATGACAGCGAGGATTGAGTTACACTGAGTTGTGTTTTGATGAGTGACAGAATGTTCTTCCATGACACGTCTCTGGACGTCTGAATGAAGGAGAGAAATATGCTTTGTGAGTATACAAGTCCGACAAGTGCGTGTTGGTGTTGTTTACTCATAATATATGCACCACGAGCACGCGCCCAGGCAATGTGCGCGTACATGTGGCCATATGGCGTCAATGTTTAATGCTGTATGAGTGTGTCTGTGTGTGTGAGTGTGTGTGAGTGTGTGTGTGTGCTGCTCCCTGATGAACAGGGCTGACAGGTATCACTCATGCAGCAGCCTGGCCTTTAAATGAACCCGAGCTGCTCTGCTCTCCCGTGGCCCTAACAGGCTCTCTCCAAGATGGATGCTTCTTTAAAAATCAGATTAATGATGGATACCAGGCTTATAGTGCCATTTATCATGAAGAATATTATTTAGGCCGGCCGTGTATGGCTGTAACTGGAGAGCCAGGACGAGAAGAAGCAGGGTGGAAAGCCTTAGACAGACACTCACTGTGTGATGGATGGCTGAGCGCTCTCTCTGAGTGTTACTAGACACCAGCGCCGCAGCAGTAAGCCATAATCAGATAGCCCAGGGATGTTTATCCCGCAACTACACTACCCAGATTG